TTTTAGTTGATTTTGGCATTTCTTTTTTTTTCATTTACTAACGGCAAACTTCCTTTTAAGTATTGCACAGCAAAATGCGGCGAAAGAATGAACCCCTGGTGAAAGATGAAACCTTTGGAGAAAGATGAAGCCACTGGAACTAACGTCAACCTTAATCTGAAAACTAACGAATGTAAAAAAAAAAAAATCAATTTTTAAATGATTTTAACTTTTAAAAGGTAAAAACTCTCAACTCAATGTACAACTTTATTCAAATTATAAAAGGAATGACAAATGTCCACATTAAGTGCGACAGAGAATTTCTTCTCAAGTGATTTGAAAAAAATTTTTTTGATCGACCATCTAATCTTTTATACTTTTGATAACGTATGAGGTACGTAATAATTTTTTAAAGCCATGATCATAGTTGCATGATAACATCGATATTGGATCATGCGTTGATAAATAACGTGAAATTTGTTCAACCGAACAAATTTCACGTTATTTGTCGATGCATGACCAATATCTTATAATTATTTATTCAGAAAATTAAAAATCTGACACCGGTCATAATTTTGACCGGTCGGTTAACCGCCTCTAACCGGTCATTATCGGTTACGATTATTGACCGGTCATGACCGGACCGAACCCATCCCTGCTAGTAAACAAGTGACGTGATTTCACATGTGATGTGATAATCACTGGTTTCCGTGTTCATGAAGTGTCCCTTTCATGGATCTTACTATTACGCAATCTCTAATTCTCACTGGTTAACATAATTTAAATAAAAATAAATAATGTAATAAAATCAACATTTAAAGAAAAAAATAAAATTAATACCCACAACTCATTGACAAAAATATCCGATGTGATGTAATTTTTTTTACAAGTGAAAATTCAAAATTGAATGTATTACATACAGTACACTTAATCATTCACATCGACATGCACCTTGCATTTTAGTCTGTGTATTAAAGTAAATTGATTCATAACTTTAAAAATAAATTTGTTTATTACTGTACCAAAAAAAAATCAAATGATATAATTCTAAAGCTTTTAATAATTTTATAAACGCTGTATTTTATTTATAAATACACGCTTAACTCTAACTATATATATAAATATAAATATAAATTTATTAAAATTTAATTGGTTAATTTAAACGTTAAGGTAGGATATTAATATCACTAGATTTTAATTAGAAAAAGCCATTTAAAAAATTATATGAATAAAATAAAATTAGCTGTGCCATGACTACAATTATGAACTGATAAATGACTACTAGAAACAAGATTAAGTTTTGACTTATCTAAAAAGAATATAAATCAAGTTCGAAAAAGAAAAGTGTTCTTGGTACTGGCATTATCTATTACCTTATATTGACATTTTACTTTGACATTCTTTTTGTGAATCTTTATTTTGAATCGAGCCTTACGGGCACCGAATTTACCAGGCTAAAAAAAAATTTAATTTAAAAAGATAAACAGTTTTTTATAATTATAAAGAGCGAATGATTACCTTCTCTGCAGGTGCTATAACACTCACGGCTTTAGAATGACACCTAAGCTTTAATATAACCGGATCTATGATTTGGTTTGTTTTTTTTTTTTTTTTTTTTTTAGAAATAAAATTCATTAAAAAACGTATTCATGTAAAATAAAATATTAAATAGGAACCATCTTCTGTTTCATTTTTTCCATCCCATTTAATATCCACGATCAATTTATTATGTCTAACTTTTTTAAGTTCGAGCGGAAGAGAATAAATTTGTCTGACGGGAACTAATTCCTCTTGAGAGAATGTGGTAACAAAGAAAAAGGCTAAATATATAAAAGTCAAGATAAATAGGCGATTCATATTATTGAGCTTGATGAATTTTATAAGTATTATTTTTCTAGGTTTTGAGTATTATAATTTTTTTTTTTTATTTTTGAGAGATGATTTTATAAAATCTTTTTATGCAAAAAATAAATTGTATCTGCGATACTTATAGCGCTTTGCAAAAAGATGTGAACATGTGATTTTAGTGATGGTGATGGCTGAGAATCACTAAGATTCCAGACT